AAATTATAAAATAATAAAGTAACATAAAATAATAAAATAATATATATATTTTTAATATAAATATATAAAATAAAACAAAATTAATAAAATATAAATATATAATTAATTGATTTGATGTTTATAACGAAAAATGATTGACACAAATTTCAAAACAATCAACACCCCCTATTAAGGGGTGCCATTAGCACTCCCCTTTGTATTTTGAAGGCCAATACTCGTTGGAAATCATCGAATGGTTTTTAGGTATTATATAAAACTACGGCAAAGATGCAATTTGTAACAAAAACTCCAAAAAACCATATGATCCAAAAATAGTTGGTTTTATGATATTTTTAATGAATGTCTTAGTCCGTTTACCAAATGCTTACTTGGGTAAGCATTTATCAAGTTACATTTCCTTACCGGATGAACATGACAAACACCAAGAATCTTACCCGGTAAAAACGAGACAAAGACCGAGAGTCATACCCAGTAAGTGAGGGTAATGACTTTTACCATAGTCAGCTCTTACTGGGTAAATTGTTGCATAGAAAGCTGTTTTTGTTGACTAAAATCTTACCCGGTAAGCAAATGATAGTGCTGAATTTTACTGTTGGGTGCTTAATTATCGGGTAAGTGTTTGGTAAACGACCCCTTAATCTAACATGTATTTTTAGATAATTGGTTTTATATTATCCAGAGTTAATTATGTTTTTCATCCATCTGATTTGTTAAAAAATTCAGATTTCGTCCCTATAATTTTGGTTTTCATTTCTATGGTTTACAATTTATTTTTATTTTCGTCTCTGAGTCCAAAACACTAATTTAAATATAAAAGACTAAAATAGAAATGAATTGTAAATCATATGAACGAAAAAAACAATAAATTTTAAATCATAAGGATAAAAAATAATGAACTATAAACTATTGGGATGAAAACTGTAATTCTAAAACTGTAAGGATAAAAATAAAAATTTTCAAGAAACCACAAACACTAAAAACCTAATTTATTCTATTATCTATCAAATATTGCACTTTTATTTATTTTTTTCCCATCAAATACCTCTAATAAATGCATTAACTTTTACATTATTTTTGTGTTATCAAATAGTAAGATGTAACTCTATTCATTAACATTATCTTTTTTTTTTTTAA